AGAAAGTTACGTATAAAATACTTACGGGTATTATACTTCGTCTCTTAGGTAATGTTACGTTTAATAGTACGTTAATAGTTATAAATATATAAAACTAATTACTTTTATAAATAAATCAATATATAAAAATAGTAAAGTTAATAATTCATTTCATTAAATACGAATATTAAACGTTTGGAGTCGTAGGACATATGTTCTTCTCAATAACCAACAATTTCATAATACATAACTATAGTTCATGGTTTAAGGTTAGTGCATAGGGTATACGGTAGTGGACTCGTGGTTTAGAGTTTGAAGTCATAGGGCATATGTTCTTCTCAATAACCGAATATAAAATTGACTCAACTTACATTCTTTGCATAACATACGTTGTAGCTTATTCCAACAATTTCATAACATATAACTATAGTATAGGGTATAGCCGTATATGGTCATGGTTTAGAGTTCATTGTTTGCATGTTTGGGTTATGGAATTATGGTTAAGGGTTGAGGTTAGTTTTAGGGTTAATTACTTAATGTTGTGATTTAGGATAATGTATGGTTGATGGTTAAGGTTAGTTTTAGGTTTCAGATTTAAAATGGTGTTATAGGGTTAGGGTTTAGGGTTAGGGTTTAGGGTTTCTTCATGGTTATGCTTTGTGCACTACAAGAAAACAGAGGTTTAGTGTCGGTTGAGTTGAGTCGGTTCACTTAACCGACACTAAAATTCTATTTTTTGTCGAAGATTTGTGTCGGTTACTTAACCGACACTATTTTCTCCAATTTTGCGTCGGTTAAAATTAAACCGACACAATTTTCAGCATATTTGAGTCGGTTTTACTTGTAACCGACACAACTATTGTTGGTTTGGGTCGGTTTTGTTATGAACCGACACAATTCCACTTACCGCCCAAATTTTATTAGTGTTTTAAATTACCACCAAAATTTTAGTGGCCAATTTCCATACCCGCCCAAAAAATTCACCTCAACCATTCTAATTTTCATATGCCGCCCATTCCAATTTCCTTTATTATTTAATCTTTACTATTTTTCCCAGACCCAACATATCACGATCCTCCTCCCATGTGCTCATCTCTCCCCCTCCCCTGCCCTCTCTCTTCTCCAACGAACAAACACAAACCCAGAAACCCTCTTCTCCTCTACGACGAACAAACCCAACAACCCTCTCGTCATCTCTGATGCTTCCCCTGCCCTCTCTCTTCCTCTCCGGTGCTTCCCCTTCCTCCATCGAGATCTCCTCTTCATCGAGTAGCCGCAAGCAATCGCCACCGCCTTCAATCTCCAGGAATCGCTCGCCACCTTGGAGAACAACCGAAGAAGATCAGCTGCTCGATCTGTCTTTCTCTGAGCTGCAGAGCAACAGGAGAAGATCCACCACTCGATTTGTCTTCCCAACGCTTGATCTGGGGATTTTTCCTTAACCTCTGCCTGCTGGTTCACCTGTGCTTAGGGCTGCAAATGAGCCAAGCCGCTCGCGAGCAACTCGGCGTTCGAATCGGAAAAAACTCGTTCGACACTCGACTCGTTATTTAACAAGCCGGCTCGCGAGCCAACTCGTTAGTTAACGAGCCAAGCCTGAGCTAGACCATGCTCAGCTTGATAAGCTCGCGAGCTAGCTTGATTCGGTGGCTTGTCGAGCTAAGCTCGCGAGCTGCCTTGTTTTGAGCTTGTGGAAGGATGAATTACTCTTTTAAACATGAACATTGTCTTATAATACAGATGTGTATGAAATTTAGATGTTATTTCTAGTTTCTAGTGTTCTTTCTATCATTTAAATTCTTATGTTTATACATTTTTCCAGCAAAAATGATTTTAAATCGAGCTCATCTTGAGCCGAGCTTGTACTCAGCTTAACAAGCTATGTTAATGAGCATTTATCGAGCTCTACCGAGTCGAGCTCGAGCTAGATTATTTTTATTCAAGCCGAGCTCGAGCTCGAGCTGGATTATCAAAATTCGAGTTCGAGCCGAGCTCGAGCTGAAAAATTAATAAACGAGTCGAGCTCAAGCTAAGCAAAAACTCGACTCGACTCGGCTCGTTTGCAGCCCTACCTGTGCTTCCCCAAATCGAAGAAGGCTGGTGTTGATTTCTTGATTTTCTGGATTTAGAGGATGAAAAGAGGCCATTTGCTTAACTAAAGCATTTATTTTGACTGGCAGATGCAAGCAATAGCTAGTACCCACTGAATTTAAGGTAACATTTGATTGCTCATGTCCTTGTACGATATTCTTTATAAATTTTATTCTGCTGGAATTGCAAGGATGCCTCTTTAAACTGTATGTCATTAATATTTGATGTTCTCCATTATGCTGATCTTCAGATGGTTTGTACTTCTATACTTGCTTGTTGTCAAATCTGCAATAGGCTTCATTAATCTTTGAGCTTATTTGAGAGGACGAAAGGCAGAGAAAGAGATAACAGGAAAGGGTCTGGTATGTGTTTGGGCATCAAACCTTACCTTCCATACTGTGAAATCATCACTGAAGCAATAATGCTAAAGTGCCTAATGGTAATAGCTTCACAATTTGTATAAACCATATGAAATTATCGTGAAGATAACTTGTCATGTATCATTAAAAAGGTTGTGTACAATTTTGATCAGGTGGATGTCATGTTAGCAGTAGCTTCTATAAGCTTCTGTGATTTCTTCATCCCTCAATTATTGCTGGTAGACAATGGTGACCTTATGGGTCTCGTATTTATTTTCTACTCATGGATATCAGAAAGTTCATTCTATTCTACATCAATTAGTGGGAGCTCTTCTTGTAATGGCTTAGTTTGTAAATATTTTCTTCATTAGTACACCTGAAATGCAGGGTATGATGTTAGTACTTGAACCCAACTGATGTGGTATGATGTTAATTGTTTATAGTGTGGTGTACTCATGTAGAGGAAATGGCAAGCATCAACTGCAGCACAAGAACAACCAGCAACAGAAGCAGTGGGTTAATGTGTGTTCTAATTGAACTTTGAGTGTTCAGTATATGTCCTAACTTAACCTTGCTGTGATCCAGGTTCAGCTTGGAGACTGGTGCTGGAAATTTTAGTCTTTTTTGCAACTCCTCATATGGCAGTAGAGGCAAATCTCTGTCCTGTATTACTAAGTTGTTGCAATTGATTAATTATATAAGGTAGGTAGGTGGTTGTACAAGAAATTGCAGGAATCACTGACGCCATACATTTATTGCTTGGTTTGGATAGTAGTAACTGGTGAGGATGAAGTTTGAGGGCTGTGAGCTTCTATGAAGTTGTTTTTAGTTGAGCTATTATGATGTGCTTCTACTCTGTTTTGTCATGACTTCTTGGGACTGGACAAGTGTTTGTAGTGCTTTGTATATGGTTTATTTATATCTGATTGCTTCAGCAGTTGAGTTTTCTAGAGAGAGTAGTAACTTTGAACTCCTTTGAATTATGTTTCTAGGGTGGGAAAGGCTTGAAGGTCTTAAATGCTTTGAGCGGCAATTGGAAGCAAAATTATGGAATCGATGAAGAAAAGGCAGACCTGGAAACTATAGTTACATAGCAAGAAAATGTTATCTCATAGATCTGTAATTGGTTCTCATTAGGTTGAGTTTCATCATACAACAATGAGTTTTTTTTTAATTGTATGTTATTTACCACTGATCCATAAATGATATTTGTATCGGTTGTATTCATATTAATGTTAGAATCTCATGTTACAAAGAGTTCGTGTTTTCAATTTGCATGTTAACATATGTATAGTGGATATATGACTAGCGGTTTATAATTAGCTACGCGAAAATGCAATGCTAGATATTAGTATTTAATTACAGTTACAGGAAGTTAATAATTTGTAGATGAAGTTGAGTAAGGAATATTAAAAGCGTGTGTTACCATATAAAATAAGAATGAAAGTTAAATTATACTAGAAAGCACGAATAAGCAAGAATGTGAACAAAATAAAAGCACGACATAGACATGATCAGGCACGGCTTGACTCGTGCTTGGGCCCGGGCCTAATAAAACTGTTAAATGGGCTTGTATGGCACGACACGAAATTTAATGGGCTGTGCCTAGCGCAAAAGTTAAACTGCTCACAACATAAAGTGTGAGTAGATACTCACTGAGAGGAGGGAGGCCGTGGGCACTTTTTTGGGCGAGCCGAAATTTTGGGCTGAGGAAGTGGGCAGTTTTTGGGCGGCCCGAAATTTTGGGCGGGAGGTGGGCAGCTTTTTGGGCGGGAAGTTGAATTTGAAGGAACAATTCGGGTCTGGTGGCTTGCAGCCTAGTAAGGGCTGCCCGCCGAGGGCCCATGGGCCGAAGGCTCATAAAACAGTTTTTTGGGCCGATATTGACATGGCCTGACAGGATATGTTTTTGTAAAAGGACGAATATTGGTATGACATTATGAGATACTAGTATGGGTTTTACAGATATTTGTTGACATGTGTTGGCATAATATCAATTCCTAATTCCCTTAAGTTTTTTCGACACTCGTTCAGTTATGCATTGTCATTAATAGTTGTCTTGTGCAGGGATGTTTGTAGGTTTTCGTCGTCGATGGTGTTCCTTATGGTTGAGAGATCAATTCACAGTCGGGATGTTGACTACGCAAGCCAGCGAGTCGTGCAATGCACAAGTGCGACTTTTCTTGAAAATGATTTGGACTTGTTTTTCATTCACTTTAGCAGGTACGCAGAATATTTCTTTGCCTTTCTTTGATATTAGTCTACTTAAATTTTAGATATTTGTCAGCGTTGTCCGGATATTTATATGCTATTGTTAAATATTACTTTGTTTAGTTGGGATATTAGTATTGGTTTGAGTGGATATTAGTCTGGGAACTAAACTCTTTCTCGTGCTTTGTAAATGTAGTTTGTTGGCTGAAAAAAGACGCAAGGAGACTGAGTCAGACTACAATGGGAAACAATCGGTTCCTTATGTTATGATGGAGGATAGCCTGTTCCTACAACATGCGGCGAAGGTCTTTACTCCTAACATGTTCAATCGGATACAAAATCAGTATTTGAAAATTGAACCCTATCTAAAGGTCTTTACTCCTTGTGCACGTACTTGCGCTGCGACTTCAGCATCTTCTTCTTCCTCATCCTCCTCTGGCTGTGGCGGTGGTGACGGCGGTGGATTTCGTTGCTGTCTCTTCACGTTCGTTTTATCCCTGCACGTACAAATATCCAGATATATCAAACAATTATCCAGGCAATTCACAACAGATATCATGCTGGCTAAAAACCAATATCCAGATATATCAAACAATTATCCAGCGAAATCACAACTGATATCATGCTGACCAAAAACCAATATCCAGATATATCAAACAATTATCTAGGCAAGTCACAACTGATATCATGCTGATCAAAAACCAATATCCAGATATATCAAACAATTATCCAGGCAAGTCACAAATGATATCATTCTGATCAAAAACCAATATCCAGATATATCAAACAATTATCCAGGCAAGTGAAAAATGATATCATGCTGATAAAAACCAATATCCAGATATATCAAACAATTATCCAGGCAAGTCACAACTGATATCATGCTGATTAAAAACCAATATCCAGATATATCAAACAATTATCCAGGCAAGTCAGAACCCATATCATGCTGAGTAAAAACCAATATCCAGATATATCAAAGAAACAATCCAAGCAAAACAGAATGGATATCCAGATATATCAAAGTAACAATCCAAGCAAAACACAATGGATATCCAAAATCAAAATAAGTAATATCGGAACGCACACAAAACAGATTATAACATGTAGCAGAGATTTAGAGTGCACTGAAATCTGTACCTCGCCTTGCTTTGACCTCGAGCTACTTCTTGTGCAGATCCTATCAAACAACTATCCAAGAAAGTCATAACTGATATCATGCTCAAACAAAACCAATATCAAGATACATCAAACAACAACCCAGGCAATAAACAACGGATATCCAGAAGGAACAGAATGCATATCTTGCCGAACAGAATAAATAAGACAATTACCTTAGTCCACAAAGTAGTTCTTTCTTCAACGACCGCCGTCAAACCAACCGCCGCTACTTTGTCGGCGTGAAACCCCGCCCTTCGTCGCCGCCGATTCGTCTGCAAAGTCGCCGCCGTCAACACAAGCTTCGTCGACGTGAAACCCCGGCCTTCGTCGCCGCCGAAACCCCGGCCTTCGTCGCTGCCGATTAGTCTGGACCCTCGTCGCCGCCGCCGAAACCAACCACCGCTACGCTGCACCCTCGCCGCAGCTTCGCTCGTCGCCGCTTCGCAGGTCCGTCGCCGCCGCTTCGCTGGTGGTCGCCGTGAAATCGCCGCTTCTTCGTCGTGTTCGTGAGAGGAGGAAAGTGAGAGAGAGGGGAAAAGAGGAAGAGAGGGGAAAGTGGTTCTGGCGGAGAAACTGACCTGGGGAAAGAATTTGTGGTTTTTGAATTTGTGGTGGGCCAGTCGTGGGCTTGGCCAGTCGACCCAAACCGACTCACCTTCCTCAACCCAAACCGGCGCCATCTGAGTCTCGCCCTCGTGGACAATAGATCCACCGTGTGAGTATCTACTCACAATTTATGTTGTGAGCAGCATAACTAAGTTGGTGCCTAGCACGGCACGAATCTAGTCATTCATTTGTTTAATAATGTACATTCATGTTTTATTCATTGCAATATGGTGATCGGTGAGTTTGTTTTAAATTAGTGTTATAACTCCCAAAAAAAAAATAGTGTAATAACTAATTATAAAAAAAACTCGATGGTGTGGTCCGAACAACCCGCAACCCGACCTGTTGTAACCCGCAATCCGATCAACCCGAACCCGATTGATCTGCAACCCGATCAACCCGTAACCCGACTGATCCGCAACCCGATCAACCCGCAACCCGATTAACCCGCGACCCGACTGAACCCGACCCGAACCCGCCCGAACCCGCCCGATTGACACCTATAAGTTTGAGTGACCAAACATGTAATTTAGCCTATAAAGATTTTACAAACTATACAAATTGAAGCAAAGTGGATAGTACATCAATTATGTACCTATCTCATACATCAAATTCGGATTTAACATAAGATGGAGATCATAATATTTATTGTGTTCCAGAGAGAGCACCCTGCTGCACCTTCCTCCTCCTCCTCCTTGCGGTAGACGGTAGTGTAGTTCTTTGAGCGAGATGTAGATGGTCAAATTATTTACGTGGTACATTAGTTGAATTATTTATCGCCAATTTAGGTTGGATCAAATATGCATTTACTAGAGTCCCGCAACGAAAGTCACCCCAGTTGAAGGCAACCAGGAGCTCCCGGCAATGAAATTTGCGACCGTAAATTTGGCAGCTTCCTGGGGGCCCATCACATGAAATCCGGCCCACCTGACCCGGCCCGAGGTGCCTGCACCGGGCCCGCTGTTCGAGAACTCTCCGAAGTAGAGCGTTTTGGAGTACGACCCTTGACCGGGCCACTCGGCCCAACCCTTGGACGAAACGGTGCCGTCGATGCTGGACTCCATCACCACCGCCCTCGAGTACTGCTTCCAGGGCCGGCCCAAGTAGCACTCGAAGCCGCCCAGATCCGGCCCGGCCGAGATCCGGCTGGCCTGGAGCGAGAACCCGGTCGTCTGGCCCGGGTCCGTCCTGCCGTTGGCGAAGATGACGACGGAGTTCCCCGGCCGGGGCCGGCGAAGGAGGAGGCTGCAGCTCTGGAAGACGGCGGCGGCGTTGCCGAAGATGAAGTCGATGGTGCCGGAGACGTCGCACTCGCGGTAGAACTGGCGGAGGGCGAGGGCGTAGAGGGTGTCCTGGTGCCCGGTGATGCTGCAGCGGTAGAAGACGGAGCGGTCGGATGCGGCGTAGAGTGCCACCGCCTGTTCTCCGCCGGGGCCCGCCGTGTTTTGGAAGCCGATGTCTCTTGCGATGAATCCGTCGCCTGTGATTGCTGGTAAAAGCAGATGGATGGAAGCCAATTATGAACAATAAATTAATTATAATTATTAAATTAATGTGGGAAGTTGGCCCAATTACAGTTGTTAAACAGTGACTTAACGCTGCCACTAATTCCCTGGGCTATTATTTATAGGCCCGCCGCCTCCCCCTATACAAAATGTAGTTAAATTATTTACAATATTATTGTTAAAATATCAGATAATAATAGTCAGGCCAGATAATTACAAAAAAAAGTGCACATGTACACCATGGTTAAAATAAAATAGATTAAAATTGTTTAAAAGGACAAAGTTCCTTTCTTAGGGGAAAACTACATAGTCTAGAAGTCTACTCACTTTGATGACCCATCGTTCTCATTAAGTTCAGCACCACAGATAACAAGGCATACAGACTGTTCTTACTTTTCGAATGGTCACAAAATTGACCCCCTAACGAGAAATGAATAAGAGTTAGCAAACTAGCACGGACCAAAAAGCTAGAGAGAATAAGTCATCAAAGTAAATGTGGTGACAACAAAACTGAAAAATAAAACTGAAAAATATTAGGCTTAAAGAAAAAAAAGCCAAAGATTGAAAAGTCGATGATATCAATGCCAAGAATGACATGTCAGGTAATTTTCATCTGTCGTTATCACCACTACTAATGTAATGAAAAGTGCGGTTTTATGTACGTAACAGCATTTTCGTGATCTAGAAACGTAAACCTTTTGAGTTTGAGAGGAAGAGGTAGAGTACTCACTGAATGTGGCAGAGCCAGGCATGGTAGAGCCGCCGTTGACACTATCGCCGCCGACAATAACAGTAGCATATTTACCATCTCCCACCAGAGTGATCTCATCTTTGTTGGTGCGGATTTTCTCGTCGTAAATCCCCGCCTTCACGTATATCACAAACCGGCTCCGCCCCGAAGCCGCCGATATGGCCGCCGAGATCGTCTCGTAGTTCCCCGTCCCGTCCTTTGCCACCACCGCGTCCGCCCTAACACCGCCGCCGCCGCCACCCTGCAGCAGCTTCCTGTTCTTCATCGATACCCAGTCCGGAAATCCCGCCACGTGTCCCCTGCTCTTTTTATCCGTACCGGTGATTCTGTTGGCGAGCGAGAGGGCGTTGCTGGTTAACTGGGAGAGGTAGTTCATCTTGCCGGAGATGTGATCAGATGCCACGTCGGCGGCGGAGAGACTGTGTTGGCGGATGGAATCTGTGCAGGCTTCGTGGAAAGTAAGGACGGAGCTCAGCCATGTCTGGATGTCGTGTTTGCGTTTGGTTTGAGAGTTCTGGAGAGCCGACAGCGACTGATTCAGCCTTTTCAGCGACATCCCCGTCAGCTCCTTGCAATACTCTACGTTACGATATGGACAAAAAAGAAAATAATAATGTTATGTAAGTAGAAACAAAATTGTTTTAATTAACTTTTACAAAAAAAATTAATTAACTGCTGCTACGTACGTACGTGAGAGCGAAATAATAATACCATGGAATTTATTTGTCTACCAAAATTTATTTATGCTAACCTTTCCAACACTCCTTACAGACCGTTTGGTACAAAATGAATCGAGAATTCATTTCATTGAAAAATGAATTACCGTGTAAAATTCATTGTCAAATGCAATCCTATATTTGGTATGTTATATTCAAATCTTTAGTAATAAAATAAAGTGTCAAGCTTAGATTCTCGTGTTTGATATGTCATATGTATAAGTAATTTAGTTAATAAAAGAGGGTATTTATGTCATTCTATTATAATTAGTAAATACTTGTGGAATTCATTTGGAAATTCCATCTCAATTCCTCGGAATTGCTATAACTAGTTCCAATTCCATAGAATTCAAAATTTAGAATTCAAACACAAAACTATTTCATTTCAAAATGAATTCCTCAAAACTTATGAAATTCATCTATACCAAACAGTGTGTTATAGGTAAAATTCCCACCATCAAAATATAATTTTGATTTTTCAATAAATAGGGAAACTTACTCAACTACATGTAATAATAAAAGGGAAGGGGAAAAAAAGAGAAGCTTTTTGGTAGGAATGTCGTGGAATCAAGCACACTATTAATAATATACCTTCCAATGTTTTCTAAACCATGATATTTAGTTTACCTCACATGATTTTGTTTTTATATGCAGCATGGTGACTTTTTGAGAAATCACTCATATTTATACTGTTCCATGCTGAGCAGGTTTAAATTTAAAGTTCTCACAAACACAACTCCATTTTATAAAAAAAAAATCTTGTCGGTTAAAATTGATTTCTTACTTATAAATCTCTCCTAGTGTTACAATTAATTAGCACTCGGAAGGTTGCCCTACTTTTTTGGTATAACAAACACATTGGTTACTAAATGCGATGAGCCTATGACAGAACCCATACATAATGTTTATAGAAAGTGAACCATGCACATTCTATTTGGAGTTGAACAACTTTTGATTTCTCAGTTGTTTGCTAATAGCGTAAAGCAAGTAAAAAGGGAAGTACGTACGTAATACTTTTCCCCTCTAATTTAAGAAGAAGAGAAGAAGTAAAACCTAGTCCAATTAAGATAAAGTGAAAACGGATTATCGTACAGTATGTACAGCAATAATAATACAATTATAGCTAGCTAGCGGTTGGCAATTAATTACCTGAGGCTGCTTGAGCACCGCGAGCTTGGCTGATTTCCAAGCCGGAATCAAGAACGGTGAAGTGGGAAGATGGCAAGTTGTTGGTTTCTGAAATGGTTCTGCGAAGGAGAGCCGACAGCACAGCGACAGTACTGTTAGCCTGATCTCGACGCTCATCAACAACGAGGTTGGTCTCGTTGAATTCCATCAGCACCTGCCGACATCGTTCAGGATACCTTGTTAAATCACAGTGCTTTAGGACGATATCATCGTGATCGGCTCCTCTTCCAGACGCAGCCAAAAACAACACCACTACCAGTACTACCTCCACCCATGTTACCATAGTAATATTCCCCATAATATAGGGTGTAAGCTGATGAAACTAAGGTTGAAGAATTAGAAAGAAAAGGTAAGAAAAAGGGAAATATTGGTCGTTTTTGGAGAAAGATGATATAGGCCAAGTTTGGGATACTGTTGTGAGTTACTAATGGAAGGTGAGTTATATAAGGGCAAATGGGATGCATATATTTATAGTGAAGGAAAAGGAGTGTGAGATTTGGGTGATCGAGTAGGCAAAGTGGGGGGAAGTTGTGAGTTAGTTTTTGTATGTCTAATTTGCTTGGTTGGGAAAGAAAGTGGTGGGAAAATTGCCCCATGTCTTTTCGAGCTCAAATAAATTTTGTACAAGCCATTTAACAAAGTGGGTCTTGCTTAGGGTACTAGTTATTTTTTCTTCCTCAAATGATTATGATGTTTCCCGCGGGTCATATCCATATAGGTTTTCTTTCGTGACGTTCCTCATATGAGCTCTTCATGGTGGGATTAAGATGTCAATCAGCAAACTTATTGACAAAGGAGATAGAGTGATAACATTTGTTACAAACTAAGATATTTACTATTGTTTATCATTTAGATTTATTTGCCATTTTTTAATTGTTTTATGAGGTTAAGGGATTATGATATTTGGGGGTGGGGGGGGAATAATTGAAGAGTATTTCATTAAGTCGTATAAAAGAGATTATTCGAGAATATATATACTGTAATTATTGAGATTACTTATTAAGCAATTACAAAACAAAAAATCATCAAACCCTAATCTTCCCCCGCTGCTGCCGGAACTTTGCTTCTTCTTCCTTCCTAATATTACTCAATTCCCATTTTCCATCACTTTTCTAAACTCTAATTAGATCAATCCCATAATTGATCTAGTTAATTTCCCCATCACCCACACGAATCCGGGATCTCCTAGAACCTGGTTTCTAACAATATAATTGGTACCAGAGTCTGATTGTGAGATCGAGTCTGTCACGACTATAGACCAGAGACTATCACAATTGATCAATGACAATAACCAAGTCAAAGATGGCGGTAGAGAAGGCTGCCTAGAAGGCGCTGGTGGCACAGGGGCTGTCAGCACCGGAGAAAAGTTCCTCTTCACAAGGGAAGGAGGTGGACAGAGCCGTGGAGGACGAAACATACCTAGACAAATTGAAGATGACAGTAGAGAGGCAGGTAGGGGCTCAGGTGTGATTGGAGGATGGTATGAAGATGTTGCAGGCAGATTCAAAGAAGCACCAGAAGGCACTGGCTTGCCTGTCGTAGGCGTCGCAACCATCAAGGAACAATTGGCCAAGTTGATGTCCGCTACAGAGGCCGCAGAGGCGGTGCGTGAGAAGAGGACGAGGTCTGCGGAGCCGACAGGGCATCACGAGGTGTGGTGGTTCCTCAGACTTGGAGGCGACGACGACCGGGTGAATCCAGAGGCGACGTCGATGGGGAGCCCAGTAGTGGCGGGTGGCACGACGGCTAACCTAAGCAGAGGATCCTCAAATCATGTGGGCCATGTTTCATTTGGGTCACATGACGAGGATGAATTGCTGCCCACTACGACGACCCAAGAGGGCTGGGTTGGGCCAAACAAGAGACTCGAACCGCTGGATGATACCCGAATCGGACCAGTCAAATCAAAAATGGCCAAACCAAAACTGGCCAAACCAAAATTGGCTAAATTGGGTTAGATCTAAATCGACCCAACTAGAAGATGGCAAGGGTGGACAACATGAGATCCGCGAATTGGAAGGGCCCTTACGGGGATGGGAGTGCACCCTACCCTCCATTCAGTAGGGATGCTTAAATGGTTACCATGGTAATTACCATACCTAAGAAGACTAAATTCTATTAACCATGGGATACAATATCATTACCAAACTGTCCAAACTAATACAACAACCAAATTAACCAAATTAAAGTTTAATCGGTTTGGTTAAATGATTAACCAGATTAACCAATATAACATCACATTATCATTCAGTGAGACAAATTTTTGATTAATGCATCAATTCCCAGTTTATATAATGAATAAAATATAATAATCAACACATAATAATAGTTAACCTGTAACATAAATACATGTCACTAATACAATTATCTTATAGTCAATAGAAGTATCCGCCTAACAAAAATATATGCAATGCTATGGAGTTAATGAATTGAATTTGTCTCTTGTCATAGGCTGAAAAAGAAATTCCTTTCAAGTTTTATATAATCTAACACAATATATGAGTTTTTATCTAAATTAGACTTCCATATGTTATGGTCTACACTCCACAAATACAAACATATAGTATGGGAACAATATCGAGCTTTAATTTTTATGAGTCTAAAAGGGAGGAAGTTTGATTTGGTGATGCAAAGTATTAAATATGTATATATAATATAGATATATGGCTAATTACTTAACTAGTTAATTTGGTTTGATTGGTTAGAGTGTCTGAAACCAAATCAAACCACTGAAACCAAACAAGCTAAAAAATTTAGAGCCAAATTTGATCCGTGAATGGACAGGTATGGTGGATATAACCGGGAATATGATGGAGATGATGACCTTGGCTTTAGAGCCAAATCCCCAACCATTGAATTTCCAAAATTCAATGGTCAGTAGGATGCTGGTCTGTGGTTGTATGTAGTTGACTAGTGGTGCAAGAACCATCCCACGAGAGAAGAACGAAAGGCAAACCTAGCATCTTTCTACTTAGAGGGGGATGCTCTACAATGGTGGGAGTGGTTGGAGAGATCCTATGTGGAGGCCCAAACATTGATTACATGGCTGAGGTTTTAAGAAGAGCTCTGATACCAGTTTGGTAAGTCAGAGGGCTAGGCACCGGAGCAGCTGGCTAAGCTACGACAGACGGGAACGGTAGACTTGTACATGGCCGAGTTTTTCAAGTTGGGTAACCAGTGCAATGGTGTGTCTGAGAACACTATGGTTGGACTGTGTATGGCAGGATCGTGACCCGAGATAACAACCATGATCAAGGTATTTAAGCCTGACTCTTTGAGGACTGCCTTCAAACTTCCAGGCTGCAATGAGGAAGAGATAGCGAGCTGGAGGAACACTATAGGTAGTTACCAGATGCCAAGTAGTGGGACATGCAATAGTGTAGTGGCCATTAGCGGTGGGGGAGAGACAACGATGGGAGGAGTGGGAGTAGTACCCGGATAACGACAATCTGTGCAGCCCGTCCCTGACCACGAGCCCCTCAAAAGGGTTTGTCAAGTTGACCACAACTGAGATCGAGCAAAAGAGGCAGGAAGGGAAGTGCTTCAATTTCAATGAGAGGTTCACCTTTGCTTCTTCTTCTTTCCTAATATTCATCAATTCCCATTTCTCATCACTTCTCGAATCCTTAATTAGATCGATTTCTAATTGATCTAGTTAATTTTGCCATCACCCATACAAATCCGGGATCTCATAGAACCCAGTTTCTAACAACATTTTTCATGTTATTATCTTAATAATTAGGATTTTGCTACAGTGAATTGCAAGTTACCGTGACTATGGAGAAAACAGTTTGCCTCTTCCACTAAGCGGTCGACCACTTTTCAAGAAATCGGTCTACTACTTTTACTAAGCGGTCTAGCTCTCCCATCAAGCGGTCCACCGCTTTCGACAACATGTCAACCGATGAAACATTGCTAATGACATCATCATATAGAATAAGAGGAGTGAAGAACTAATAGATATGTTTGCTGGTAAGAGAATTAAAATGAGTACAAAGGGTAGAACATAGATGAGAAGTTTCTAGAGTGATTGTTCCCATATAGATTTGGAAAATGTTCTACATAGTTATTTCTTATATTTGACTTATACTCTATAGAGACTTTCATCTTCCCTTCAAATTCTAAATTTGCTTGTTTTTATCTTATAGTTTTCTTGTGACAGATCAACTTTGTTGCTATTGTAGTTATGAAAATACTTAAAAAGTAGAGTATAATTTTTTATACAAACGTGTCATCTTCAACGTCCATAAATCTCATATCATATTGCATTTACGGGCTTATATTCCAGAACTGTTATTCCTTTTTGTCTAGACCTGGCGTACGCTATACACCTGCGTTCACACTTAGTATATGTACCTTAGTATATTTCGATAAATCATAACCATCAGTTGTTATTTTTTTTAGATTACATGAATTTTATGGTCCGGGTTAGAGGATTAGAGATTGAGGTTCACCCATTAGAGATTAGGGATAATATCATGTCTCAAACTTCAGTTAACTCATGATCTAAATAGTACAACTCGACAAACGTACAATAGTATATACATAAACGTATAGCGAAAGTCTGACAATACACTAGATTGAACTATATTATATATCATAATTACACAACTTTAATACATCTATTCACTTGCAAAATACATCTACTTAATCACCCCTGCAACTGCAAAATGGGCCAAAAAGACACCGTAGTTGATGCCGAATGTTGTCTTCGTCATTTTAAATTAATGGCTAATATGGTTATGCGATGGAGATATGAGGACTACTTACAAATGACGGGACACGCGAGCCGAACAATGAAATGATTAATAAATATATTGGGCCAATTGTCCTGTTACGTTTAATATGCTAAACTACACATTACAAAGATATATGGCCATGGATGCTGGCAGCTGGAGACAGCAGCACATGCTATAGCTTCGGAGGGAAAATTGCGATCGATTAACTGACTGAATTGATAGTATAGATGATGATCATTAGTCGATGAGATCGAACCATGAGCAACTTCCAGCCACATGCACAGCCCAACCACAAGGAAAAGATGCATGGGATTAAGAAATTCGCATTAATGTAAGCAGCTTCGCTTATAGTTCATCATTTCCCATGGAGGCTAACGGGGTGTTTGATGAAATTGATAAAAAGGCCTCTTTCTGCATCAGCAGTGGCGTTGTTGGGTTGTTGGCCTCTTGTGGCTTCTGTTTGTTGTCCCATCTATTCTTTCCCCAAGCAATCGATTCATCTCGATTTATGAGTCTGTTGTGCACAAGGTTCAAGAAGACGCTA